GCTTAGTTGAAGGCACTTGTGGGTTGAAAAGTTTTTAACCTGGTTTTAAAAATATGAATGGATAGGGAATTCCTATGATCATCGAGCAGATGATTTCAGCGCTGTGCCACATAGTGACTTCTCTATGTGTAGACTGCTCTGTGCATAATAATAGTCATGTGATAGAAAACTAGAGACAAGGAGTGTTTCAAGACATACTCTTGAGATATTTACTTTTTTTCTATTTTCTAAATTATGTTATATCTGCCTTGCCAGGCTGAAGCTGCCAAATTGGTGCCAATGGGCTTCACAACAGCCACTGAGTTCCACCAGAGGAGAGCAGAAATCATCCAGGTTTCTACAGGCTCAAAGGAGCTGGACAAACTACTACAAGGTCAGTACGTCCATCATGAAAATCATCCTGATCCTTAGTTAATGGAAAAACACCATCTGGCACATCCAAAGGTCTGGTTAGGAACATGAGACCCAGGCCCTGTTTATGAAAACCTTAAATAGAAATTCCTTTTTTCCTTTGCAGGTGGTATTGAGACGGGCTCCATCACAGAGATGTTTGGAGAGTTTCGGACAGGGAAGACTCAACTGTGCCACACACTAGCTGTCACCTGTCAGGTACATTCCACACTTACACCAGAGTGGGCAGTTCTTCGACTGCGGAAGCCTCAGTTGTGTCAATAGAAGCTGTGTTACAGAGCGGGTGGAAGAGAGAAAATATTTCTCAGGTTCATATTGCAATTATACATACTGTATAAGCCTAAAAATTCAAATTGACTTTTACTGCACTGTCCCGTCTGTCTGCAGCTGCCCATTGACCAGGGGGGTGGAGAAGGTAAAGCCATGTACATTGATACAGAGGGAACCTTCAGACCTGAGCGACTCCTTGCTGTCGCAGAGAGGTGAGTCAGCGCCTAATCAATGGACGAAGACTACAAGCTGTAACATGGGCCCACATTTAAGTCTTTTCTGAGACTTCAAGTGTCCCTGAGATTTGCTTAAACTAGGGCTGTCAAACGATTACAATTTTCAATCAGATTAATCACAGGGTAGCTGTGGATTAATTCCGCTTAATCACCATTTGTAAATATGCCCGAAAAATACCCATTTTCTGTCTATTGTTGTGGGAACAGAAAGATAAGTGACAGAAGGTGGATATTCTTCTTTTAGATGATTTAGATGACAAATGTACGATCATGTATTTAGTTATCAATTGATGGTGACTTTAACTTAGTCATGCTGTTCACGTCATGTCTCATGTAGCACTGAGCATGAGTCATTTTTCATGATGTTTAAATGCAGCCTCATGGAATCAAACAAACACTGTTACTTCATGTACTGATCAGGTCCTGATAACTAGTGATGAGTGGTCACAGTGAGAGCAGGTCAGAGTGGAGGAGAAAACAGAAACTCCAGCTTGATACAAACCAACTGCAGATTCTGCTCTGATCATTAAGCATCTGATCACTGAGCAGACGTGACCAGAGAAACTCTGTTTTCACAGTTCTTCAACAAAGTCTCTGATCGGCTACTTTACGTGATGGTATGGGTATATGGAGCGGGTCATCCTGCGCATGCCTTAATGTGCTAAAATATGAATGCGTTAATTCCACAAATGAATCATCCTGCGTTAACGCGTTAATTTTGACAGCCCTAGTTTAAAACAATAAAAGGGTCTGGGTTTTGGGATAAGTTGGAATATGTTTCATGTGACTTAGATCTCTCTTTCATCAGATACGGGCTGGTGGGCAGTGATGTTCTAGACAACGTTGCCTATGCCCGAGCCTTTAACACAGACCATCAGACCCAGCTGCTGTACCAAGCATCTGCCATGATGGCTGAGTCCAGGTCAGTTGGCTCAGTGGTTTTGCTCTCAAGGGTCTTAAACCTATTATCCTTTTTCTTATTTGCAGAGGTAAGTATAATGTTACAATGTTGGATTATCATGTTAAATATAATATATTAATTAAATATTTGTTTGCAACAATGGATAAAACTCTCTTTTTGTGGGCCAACAACAGCCACAGGCAACCTTCTTTGTTTGTTTATGCCACTTCAGGCAGGACTCTCATGAACAGAGCCCAGCATTAAGCTGTATTTGCAGCTTGGTTTTTGCATAAAGATTGCACTGTTCCCTCTGTAAATTAAATGTCCTTTGATATCCTCGGAGGAGGAGCGTTCACGTTCTCAGGGACACACCAGGAAAACTGCACACAAGCTTGCCCAAGGGCATGCGCAGGATGGCTCAAAGCCCCACAAGCTGATGCTGTCCTTGAGAGACCTTATTCAAGACTATTATATTGTTTTCAAACTCTCAATCTCTTTGCTGGACCAAAAACATGTGACTGACACAGGTTGCACCTTCTGTGTGATCCTGTTTGCTTCAAATCAAAAGTCAGGGATACATTAGCCACCAATCTGCATATTCCTGGTTGACTTAACAGTAACAACTGTCTGTACCTGGAGCTATGGATCCTACAGGGGCTGGAGAGGATGATGGAATGTTTCCAATATTCTAATATTTCCTGCAGTTTTATTACGAATAAAAACATTTTTACACCTCTCATACCACAAGAGATCCCTAACTTGGTGTGTACAGCGTGATTTGCCACATGCTCATGCTACTGTAAACTACTGCATGCTCTTGCTGTGATTCATTACGTTTTCTCCCTCCTTGTAGACAGTTGGACCTCAGTGTCAGCTATAGTTGTAGCATGCAATTGAGTTCTCTTTCCCACAAGAGCTTATATTTCACTGTTTAGTCTGTGTAACTGTGACTAGGAATCTTTTGCATGTGAGAGTGACCCTTGTGAATTTACATACCAGTTACTGGCATAAATTGAATTAATGCTGCAGGAAACACTAGGACTTGGTTGTATTTCAAGCCTGAGATATCAATGTATTGGTTTTGAAAAAAGGCAACGTACTGGATAAGTTCCAGTTCACTATCTCAAAAACAATAATTCATACCAACTCAGAAGCTGGTGAAAAGCCTGGGAGAGATGTTCGACAGTAGCTTAATTGATATTTTATCCATTTAGAAAACCTGCGAGGAGCACTGTATTTGGCTGTGACTGATTTCCTTGTGGTCTCCTCTTGGTTTACATTTGCCTGTGGGATCCCAAGGTATTTGTAGCTGTCTTTAACATCTGTTATGTTTCCGTCTAGTACAGTTGTGTTCAAAATAATAGCAGTGTGTTTAAAAAAGTGAGTAAAGCTCAAAATCCTTATAATAGCTTTTATTTCCATACACGCAAATGCATTGGGAACACTGCACATTCTATTCCAAATCAAAACATGAAGAAAATGTGTTATTACTTTACAGAAATTGAAGAAAAAGGAATATTAGGCTGTTCAAAAAAWWA